ATGTAAGTGCATTCACTCTCATCGAACGCCGGACGTCGATGTTGCTCTGCGCATGCGCTGACCGTGACGAATACGAGGTTCTGTTGTGTTGAATCATCGCAACCATATGTGGCTCGCCTATCCCAGAATTACTGCGCTTCGCCTTTTCAGCGGCGTCCTGGTGCGTGCCATGACAGCATCCGCAAATTGTGGGTACGAATAACGTGCCCGCGCTGTCCATAGAGTGAACAGACGATGTCGTGTTGAAATCGACGGTCGCTGTCGCACGCATTGCGCACTGCACCACCTGCACATGAACACGGAGCTTGCAGCACACATGTAGGGCTGTCTTGAACAGCCAAGCACTCAGCGTGGCTTCTCAGCGTCCATTTCTCAGCGGTTCCTGTTATCCGGACTGAGTCTCTTGATAGCGCTTGGTTGCGGTGCTATCGATCCCTGAAATTGCAGGCCGATTAAATGCAGCACCGCCTTGAAGCCGTGACACGCCCAACAGCCTCGCAAGGAATTTGTCTTCAGAATCATCGGAGTATGACATGGCGCCGTTGCTACCAGGTCGTGCATGGGAACCTAGCTGAGCTGCGTGTAGTGGTGCGGGCAGCAGACGCGAAGGTGCCACTCACTTTGATGTCCACATAGAGCATGAGAAGTACTCACAGTGCTCCGGATAGTAATAGCTGGAGTCGAGAGGTTCCGAGTACAGTGTGCTGAGACGCTCTTCTTCCGCCGTCCGTAGAACATGCCCGACTCAATTCCACGCCGCTGCACGCTGATGATCCGGTATTGATCGTGCAAGAGTCAGACTTCGACAGCTAACGCTCAACCTGGCCGTGATCCACTCGAATAAGCCTTGGAGTAACCCGGATGCAAGAGCTGCATTTATGAAATAATCAAGTAGTATTGGGCTGCTTGGGTTACATCCCAGCCTTCAATTGTACGCTATCCCGTCGTATAGCGAATTCGTCTCACATAGAAAAAGAAGCGTTAGCAGCCAAGTACTCGATGATGAAATAAATGGCAAGAGACTCACCCATCCTGCTTCTGAGCTTTCCTGCAGCGATAACGATCGCTTCGTCTGAAAGAGATCGCAACTTTCGCGAGATTCTGAGCGTGAACGATCCGTAAGTCGTGTCACCTCTGAGTTGTGGTTCGACCTGCCAAAGACCTTCTCGGTAGTTTCATGACCGAAAGCCTGTTTGTCAGCATCTTGCTTCATTTCTGGCAAGCGCGCTCCGTGGAATGATGCCGCACTACGATCAATGGATCAGAAGAGAGACTATTCGAGCGAAGGCTGGAGGATGTTCCGAGTTGCCAAACTGAGAGGCATCCGCTCAGCCGAACTTATGTCTGCGGAGAGTGGTTCAGAACAGCACAGATGGAGTGAGATCAACTATAAATCAATGTCACCAAGATGCGTCAAACACACCAAAGACAGACCGGACAAACGCGCAACTTTCGTTCGCCCCCCTCCGAGCACTTATCTCCGGATTCATCTACTTTATCCTCCCGCGGCCTGCAGCCCATCAGCACAAGTTGCCTCCCAAGGAACGCAAGGACGTACCCTTGAACCGCACTCCACCCGTATTCCGATCCGCCTCCCGCTACGGTATCGCGCCTCTTTGCTTCTGCCACCTCTCCTGCCTTGCATCGTACTGTCCCTCCATGTCTTACCCCGGCTTGAGTGTTCTCTTTTGCGCTCGCTCTTCAAGGCTCTTCGACTCGGACTTGCCCTTCTGGTGCCGGTGGCGATAGGTGGCGACTCTCGCGAGTCTCTCGCGTGCGCTGCACTGATGCGTGACAGCAGACGCGTACCGTCACGCGTTACGGTGGCGGCGCAATGCCTTTGTTCGTTGACCATCCGACTCACTCCAGTCCTTGACCAGCGCGCCTCAGCTTAGCTTCTAGATGGACGCGTTCACTACTTCACCACCATAGTCTCCAGCTGGTCCTGTACACAGCATCAAGGAGTAAAGAACAGTCATCACGCGCTCAGAAACTGCATCTGGGTCTCGACGATTACAAGCGCTATGGCAGACAGATGATCCTCGACGGGATAGGCCTTCCGGATAGGCAAGTGTCTTTCGATGAACTATGCAAGGCGGCTGACCTGAGGTCCGTTCAGGACAACTAAAGTTACAGAATGCGTCCGTGGTTGTGGTTGGCGCGGGCGGTCTGGGGTGACCTGCTCTGCAGTATCTCGCAGCAGCAGGCGTAGGTGAGTCCTCTTGAGCCCATCAACTGTGCGCGTACCGAGCAGTCTTTCGATCAGGCAGGCTGGGCATCGTTGACCATGATGTCGTGGAGTTGTCCAATCTACAACGGCAAATACTACACACCGAAGCTCGCGTTGGAATGCATAAAGCTCTCTCCGCTGCAGAAGCTATCAAGTTCACGGTGCATCGCACCTGTACGATCGACTCATGCGCTGCAAAAACAGATAATCCCTATATAGCATCAACTCTCGCATGCAACTCACCGCCATCACCACCGCCTTCACCGCGTCCAATGCGCTCTCCTCTCTCCGACTACACCTCATCCTCGACTGCACCGACAACCTCCCCACGCGCTACCTCCTCTCCGACACCGCCGTGCGCCTCGGTCGCCCACTCGTCAGCGGCGCCGCGCAGCAGTTCGACGGCCAGCTGTGCACGTCCAATCTCGGCCCTGGCGAGGGCCCGTGCTTCCGCTGCCTGTTCCCGAAGGCATTGACCCCCACGCTGGCTGGCTCGTGTGAGGAGCTGGGCGTGCTCGGGGTGGTGACTGGTTTCATTGGGAATTTTCAGGCGCTGGAGGCGATCAAGATCATAATGGGCCTGCACGGTGCCTGTGCAGCCTATGAGCTCAGCATTATGAGTGTTAACTCGAAACGTGAACTTATAGATGGGAAGCCGACCATGCTGATATACTCGGCGCTCAGCACGCCGCCATTTCGAAGCATCAGGCTACGCTCTCGACGGCCGATCTGTCCCGCATGCGGTAACGAGCGCGAGAAGGTGGGCACCATCGAAGAAATGGACCATGTCATGTTCTGCGGCGGGGAACGCCCGGATTGGGTCGGCAAAGGTTTAATGGAGGACAGGCCAGGCAGTCGAATACGCGTCAAGGTACGGAGACTCGTCGGTGGCTTATAGGATTCCTTCTGAGTATACACACAGGAATCAAAGATATACTTGAAGGGTGCAGCAATTGGGTACGCGTGTGTACGGTTTCAAAAACAACAAGCCATTCTTAGGCTCTCATGCCTCTGCATCTGTCTGGAAAGCCTCCACAGGCCCTTGACCGTCGTCAATCGTTACCAGTAAGTCTTCGTACCATTCTCACCCCTTAACGTCGCCGACGATCTTTCGTACGTTGTCGACATCGTCCTTCTTCAACTTCCCTGCCTCGGTCACACCGCATATCACCGCCATCACATCAAGTTCGCATTGTGTCCCCCCAGTGGATCGCTCTCCTTACGATCTGCTCTTGTACCTCGATGTCATACCATGTCGATCACAACCGCAAGCTGTTAGGATTTCGGGGCTCGCCATCTGCGACGAGAGAAGAACGGGCGCGCGGACGATCTCCACGCAAGTTATGATAGTTTGGTGGTACTGTTCATCCTGGGTGTGCCTGCGAGCTGATTTGACTCGGTCGTCGGACTGTACGTGCTTTTATTGATTTTGCCGTCCTAATGCTCGCTTTCGCTCAGCTTCCTCCGGACATCAAAGGAAACGACGGGTAGGTAAGCATTACCGCTCTCTGCGCCTCCTTGCACCCGCTGACTTATGCTTCCTTCAGCGTCACACCTATGCGAGCACGCTTTCGTCGTGAACGGCTCGGATCGATGACACGCGGCGCTTCATCGGACGCATCGACGGAGCAAGAATTGATTCCCATTCCCATTGTCTTTGCCGTACGCATTCGTCCAAGTCGTCCTCCCATCCGGCGAGGTTTTGTGCTGACGTTCGCGTCAATGGTTTGTTGTTTCCCTTTGTCTAGTTCCTCGTCTCGCCTTTTCTAGGATATGTATCTCTTCGGTCGGCTTGTGGGTCTGATGTTCTCTCGAAATTGTAGTCTCGGTCTACGGTCTCATCTTCTTCTCTCATTTATATGGTCTCTGCTAATGTCTGTGGCCTCGGTCTGTGTGCATTTGCTCGGTCTTCATCTCGGATTACTCTTGCATATGTCTGGTTTTTCTTTCAGCCACGCTAATGACTTTTGCTACTCCGGCATATTTCAAATGCCTCGAGTAGAAAGAAATTCGCCTTTACTGCTATTATGTAAATTACGTGACTGTCGATGTTACACCGCTTGAGACTCGTTGGGATGGCGCCCTATGGGATCAGGCTGACCACTGAAACCTCTGCTATGCATTCGTAGTCCTATAAGAACGAACCTGCGCAGTAAAGACATAGATACAAATCAAGCGAAGCGAGGGATATACGAAATCTTGTCCGTCGTGTAGTAGTTACATCCGGCACTGAGTACACAAAACTGGCATAGAAATACTGCGGCACAATCGAGAACATATCAGCGATGTGAGGTGAGCGTCATAAAGACTTTCTGCGAAGACGGTGATTACGAGGAAAGCGGGGGGAGAGATCATGATGACCTGGACGAGGCGTAAATGTGATGGTCGGCAAAATAAGACGCGGGTATGCAATAGGCCGTGACAGTGAACATGGCAACGACATGCCGTATCGAAGATCATGGCGGAGGCGCGACGAAAACAGACGAGGTTGGGTGAGAGTACGATGCTCGGTATGAAGTCTGGATATGGGATAGACTTGGCCGGGAAAGAGGGAGAGCGTAGGAGCTGCACGTCCAGGATACGTTCGAAAGGAGAGTGAAGGCGAGATGGTATAACTGCAAAGGCAGTAATTGGCTATGCGGCGGCTTGCTCGGCTAGACGAAGCTGTTTATCGGCCGATTGACTCCCACTCCATGTACTCTCGACGTCCGCCTGAGGTGTCGGTTATAATCAACACTGCATGTATGTGAGTTCAGTCAAGTATCCAAGAAGCGAGGATGACGCACGTCAACATGTTCTTGTCGAACAGTTTAGGAAAACGCGCACAGATCTCTGTGCAACGCCCAACACGCTGTGACTCTCTCAACGGTAATCCGAATAGTCCAATGTCTATAGACACGCCTCGCAGCTTGGGGAAACGTCCCTCGGCCAAAAGCTCATCAATCTGAATGCAGACCTCCGGATCGAAAGCATTAAGCAGGGCATGTGTTCTTTTGCCATCGTTATAGTCTTGTATTTGAAAACCGATATCTTTGATATCTTTTGATGATATTGTGTTGAGCAGAGGCAGCAGCTCACTCTGGATGAAAAGTTCAACATCATTCATTACTAAAGTGCTAACGGCCAGTCGCAGTTGCTGCAGATTGACATTTGCTTCAAAGCTGATAGGGTGCACTCGAGAAGTATGAGCCACGCTGTGCACAGAGCACTGTTTGATGGAATACTCACAGAGCAATGACTGGAAACTGCCACCGACATCCTCCGATGGTCTACGTAAACTGATTTTTGCCGTCTCAAGTCTCGTGCCGGCGACGTTCAGCATGTCTTGAATGAAAGCAACAGCCGCGGCAGAAACTCCTGAATGTAGGTTGAGTGTTTTGAGAACAGCTTGATGCAGCAGACCAAGAAGAATACGTCCAATGTCTTCGAAGCACGACAGGTCATAATGAAAGGAAGTCACTGTCGTCAAAGGCATGCGGTGGCGTTCAGGCAGTGGCGCCATGGACCTCGGTTCGCTCCAGCACAGAGTCCACAAACGAAGGTGCTGCAGACGAGGAAATGAACAGATGAACTGAAAGAAGGGGCTCGCCGATGGCAACATCACCGAATATAGCTTCAATGATGTGAGATGACTGAATTCGTGCAAACTCCAAAACGCTACATTGCGCGTAGGGCTCTGCTCGAAGCTGACAGCGGTGAGGGTGAGCTTGTCCAGGTTTGGAAGTTTCCCTGCGAGCATCACGAGAATCGATGCCCACTCCGGACCTGTCTTGAAAGGCCCGATCTGTAAGCGTCGCACACGGGCACCGAGGAGGGGTGTCTGCTTCAGTGACCTCAAAAAGATGAATGCCTTTTTCCGATTGTGGAGCACGGGCTCCTCGAAAAGGACCGCGCGGCTCTCGGAGTACCACCCTCGGCAAACGAGGGCGCATTTCAACAGAGCCCGTCTCTCGTCATACCATAAAGAGGACGGATCGAGATGGTCGATAATGCGCTCGCAGATCTCGGGCGGAAGCCGAGGCTGAGGGTTATTGATCGGCGGGGCTGGATTGGCGCCTAGTGAAGCGCCCATGGCAGGATCGAACGGCTTGTGTCCTTATATGAGCAAGTGCCCGAGAACACGATTGCGGCTGCTCACGAGTGATTATAATGTGCACGAGACGTGGAGGATGATCACGATGCAGAGGATGTCGATGAGCGGGAATGAGAGCGGGATGGACGGGCTGCGGTGACTGGAGGTGTGGAACCTCTTATATACGTGAACAACGCTTCGATTCTGCAGAACCGCAGACCTTCACGAGTCCGATACGGTCCGCTGGCGCTCACACAGCCTCTATTGGCGAAAATTGATCATCGCCTACCGCATTGTGCAACGATAGAGGCTGTGGCACTGTAGCACTGGACGAACTTCAGTTCCTACGTTCGCTGTCTGTTACCCGGAAATTAAGGACGCACGACACAGCACAACGATGTAAGTGCATTCACTCTTATCGAGCGCCGTACGTCGATGTCGCTCTGCACATCCGCTGACCGTCACGAACACAATGTCCTGTTGTGTTGCTTATCGTGAATCATCGCAATCATATGAGGCTCGCCTATCCCAGAATCACTGCCCTCCGCCTTCTCAGCTGCGTCCTGGCGCATGCCATGGACAGCATTCGCAAGATGTAGGTATGAATCACGCGCCCGCGCTATCCATAGAGTGAACGGAGGATGTTGCGTTAGAATTGACGGTCGCTGTGGCAGGCACTGCGCACTGCACCACCTGCCCATGAACACGGAGCTTGCACACACATGTAGGGCTGTCTTGAACGCCCATGCCACTCAACCTGGCTTCTCTGCTTCCGTTTCTCAGCGGCTCCTGTTATCAGGCCCCGAGTCTCCCAATAGCGCTTGGTTGCGGTGCTATCGATCCCTGAAATTGCAGGCCGATTCAATGCAGCACTGCCTTGAGGCCGTAACACACCCAACAGCCTCGCAAGGAATGTGTCTTCAGGATCATCGTAGTATGGCATGGCGCCGTTGTAACCAGGTCGTGCATGGGAACTGACCGACCTGCGTGTAGCCGTGCAGGCAGAAGACGAGAAGGTGCCGCTCACTTTGATGTTCACCAAAAGTGATCAGCGCGCTAAGGAGAATACTGGGTCCAACAGCTCCAGTTGAGACACCGAGCACAATGCGATGGAATGATCTCCTGCCGTCATCAGCAGAACATATCCGACTCATTTCTCCGCTGCTGTACGGCGACGAACTGACAATTACTAGTGTTCATCGTGCAGGAATCAGATCTAGACAACTTACGATCAAAGACAGATCCAATGAACGCGCAACATTCACTCGCCCCTCCGCGCACGTATCTCAGAATCGACATATTTTATGCTCCCGCGGCCTGCAGCCCATCAGCACGAGGACCCCTGCCAATAAACACATGGACGCACCCTTGAACCATATCCCACCTGTTCCCTCTCCAGCAGGTCCAGCTCGTGTCTCTTTGCCTCCGCTAGACACTCCTTCTTCTCCCCCTCCAGCCTCGCGTCGTACTATCCCTCCACCTTTTCACCCGGCTCGAGTGTTCTCTTTTGCGCACGCTCTTGCTCCTCGTCCCGGACTTGCTCCTCTTGTGCCGGTGTCGACCCTCGCGTGTGCTGATGCGTGACAGCAGACGCGTACCGTCACGCGTTACGGTAGCGGCGCAATGTTTGTTGACCTTCCAGGATCGCGAACGCGGTGCACTCACCAAGTATCCCGCCGAGAGCGCTACAACCGATGTCGACAAGGCTTGTCACGCCGTCGAGCACATCGTCCACCAAGCCGAGAATACTCGGGTCCGACGCGTCGCCGACGGTGATGCAACATTTGGTGGAGCCCGTGTTGCACTGCCCGCTGGAGCCGTAGTTGGGCATGGGCGTAGCGGTGGCGGCTGTGGGCGGAATGGTCGGGAAGGGGAGAGTAGAGGGCGTCTAGCTAGACGGGATGCATAAGGGCCAGGTGGTGGGCCACACGGCGCTCGGGATCATGTCGGTCGTGAAGACGGTCTCGGGCTCAGGCCAGGCCCAAGTGGACGAGGACGACTCGATGGCCCGGCTCCAAGTGGGCACGACAGATGAGGACGACTCGCTAGTGGATGGACGTGGTGGCAGTCGGGCAGACGTTAATGGTAACCGGCTCGTAAGTGGAGGCGGCGCGCACAGCGACGAGCATGGCGGCAGAGATGATGGTGAGGCTCTGCTTGGAATGAATTGTGTGGCAGAAAGGAGCGGCGGTCAACAAGCGAGTGATGTCGATGATTGCTGGAGGGACGGTCAGTGTGCTGCGAGCAAAGTTTAAAGAAAACGTACATGAACGAGCGAGCGAGCGGGAACTCAAAGGCGCGTGGTATTTATTGCGGAGAGGATGGATGGCTGCGATGTCGTTCAAACTGCTGTCGCGCGGTCTGCGAACGTGAAGTTGACATGCGAAGGAGACTCATTGCGCGCGGAGGTCAACCCCTGCACTCCCTAGTGCATCGTTGAGCGTTTCCACCGAGCTCGATGCAACTGTGCACGCAGCAGACGAGACCTAAAGCTGTACAGGCTGCTGTGCGGTCTGCGGTGCGGGAAACGTGTACGAATCTTGCGCCTGTTGTTGATAGCCTATTAGCACGGCTGGTGTGCCTGGTAATAGCTCGCTCTACACGAATATATGACTGGATGTGCAGCATCGACAGCGTATACTCCAGTACGTAGATTGCTGTGAGGAGCAACGCACGATTGCCCCATTGTGCGGCCGAGAATGTTGGCACTGGTGTTTGCGAGTCGTGCCCTTGCTTCATTGTGAGAGAAAGCAGAAGAGCTGGGAATGGTCATCTCAGGGTCGTTCAGCACGTCGTGAATCAATCAAGCTGGGGGCAGAGAGGTAGAGAGTGTCGAGGTGAGCGACCAGGCGCGTTGTGGCCAGCCTTTCGGTGGCAGTGACCCGGGTACTGCCCGAGGACGAATGCTTTCGCCCCTCTGACACCCCTGATCGAACACCTCGGCCAATATTCAGCCTTTTTTTTTTATATACAATTTATATCCTGCCCCGAAGGGGCGGTCGGAGGTGTGTAAATACATGTCTTGTAACAACGGAGGACCAGACGCATCTGGGGGGGGCCAATATTCAGCCACACTCCCCTTAGGCTCTCCTCGTACTACCTGTCCGTTCGTACCTGCACGCTGAGCACCTGCGCTGTCCACTGTCCATTGAAGTAGAGAGCAGGACATAGCAGATGATGGTGAGCATCACACCCGCAGTTCTAAGCACAATTCACGTTCCATCGCCCTCCGCGTCGTCTGTCAATATTTCCTCCATGGCCAATGCAAGTTCGATGGTCAATGCAAGAATGAGCACTCCCGCGACGGTA